TTTAAAGCTCCTCTCTCATATTATCTTCTGTTTTCTGTGTGTGCAAGTAGCGTGTCACGCAGGCACCTTAAATGTCCTGGTTAATTTAACAGCGTTTTTAATGTTTTTTCCTTCCAAAGGAGATGGTGTTCCAAGCACATGCGCGTGCAACCTAAAATCTGATGCTCAGGCAGTTTCAGATAAAGGAATGGATTCTTCTGGAAGTGTGTTCTGTCTGAGATTACAGTCCTGAACAGGAGAGACGCAGATTTTTGACATTTCACTGCATTGGTGCACGTTGAGTGCGAAATCCGGGACTTGATTTCAAGGCTGTTGTATTTCAGTGAAAATAAGTATTCATGTATCTGGAAATAAGTGGAGTACACGTCTAGATTTAAAAAAAAAGGCTTGTCAAGTGTGGCTTTGAAACGTTTTTTATATTGATTACATCTTTTTGGATAGGAGAGAATATTATCCCTACTTATGTGAGGTATCTAGGTACCTGATGCACTCACTACTTCCATTTTTGCAATCCTGATTGTTTTTATTTCTTGCAAATATACATTTTTTCTTTTTTTTTTTTAAAAGGTAGTTTTTGAGTGCTAGTCTGGCCAGTAGCTTAGCACGGATGACTCCTGTGTTGCAAATTCCTAAAGACTGCAGCTAGCTAGGGAGAAAATCTGACTATGAGATTTCATTAATAAAACGTGATGAATTGCGTGCTCTCCATTGCATTTAAAATTTGATTGGATGATGACTCATGGTTTTGCAACTGGAGTGAATTTCAGTGCCAGAGGTTGTGCCACATCTGTCCAAGTGAAGCCCCTGCCTGGATAAACGTCGTACTCCGTGGTCCCTTGCATTCACCCTTTGTCGCGTGTCGTAGGGACTTGGCTATGTAGAGCAGTCTGCATGTTGAATCATAGTTGGAAGCAGGAAAGAACAAGCCTTTGAGTTCCAACACTTGAATTGTGTAAAACATAATAGGAATTGGTCTCAGGAATCATTTGACATCTATCTGAGAGCCAACATTAGGAAGCTGTGTGCTATCATAAATTTGTTGTATCTCCAGGAGTGAGCAAAAAGTGTTTTGTGCTGTGTAGTTTGATGGTAGAAGATACATGCCCTGGCTCAGGTGTGAGTGAAGGAACCGTTATACCTCCTCCAGATAGGGAGGAGTGTTCCCAGTGAGGAAGTGAACTGGAGTCACTTCTGATTGCCAGGTGACAATCTGTGAATGACAAGGGGTACCACCTTGTAGAGGGAGGCGTATACAGGAGGTTGTCACAAAGTCACTGTTGCAGAAAAGGCTGTTTTGTACATGGAAAAAATACTGCCCTTGTATGTCAAAGCTGTACACTCATTTCATAGGAAATTTTGAAATTTGTATGGAATGCTTGTTTTTCTGCCAGGCTAGGCTTATGTCTCAAGGTAGCTTTTGCAAAATTAGAAAAAGGCAAAGTAGAAAGCAATGTATTGTGTTGGAAAACTGTGTGTGTATATATATAAGTGTAATTTTTTTTTGGCACAACTTTTGTCAATGCTGTTTTTCAAGGAAACCTAGTTGGAATTGGAGAACAGTAGGTGTTTTGTGAACGGGCATTTGGTAAAGACCTTGAAAACTCTTCAGCACGTTACTGCACGTTTATCGTGATCTGACATGGTGAGATAAATTGCCTGGTCTGCTACCAGTTATTTTGGAAAGCAGAGAATTGACAGCGTGGTATGTGGTATGCTTCTCTCTATTCCACAATGTTTATGAAATGTGAAAGGAAGATGAATTTTATTGTTTATAAGTCGAGACATTTTATTTAGCATAAATAGCTGTTCTGCTTGTAGTTGGAAGATAATCCATAGGCCTGACTTCATAATGGTCGTTGCTTGTAAATGGTTTCAGTATTTTCCACACGATGGTTGACACACGCAGATTCTGGGTTTTGTTTCTCAAAGCAGGATAAAATGCTGTAAGTGAAAGTAAGAGGAATTGATAAATGCGGGTGATGCCTCAAATCGACACCATCTGAAAAGACTGCTAAATAAAAGATGATTAAAATAGTCCTTTTTAGTCACGGCAGCTGCTTCTTTTATGATTAATTAATTAGAACAGCAGCTTCCTAGGGAGGCTTCTCTGTGGATTCCCCTGTGCTCCCTTGATGCTCTGTATTACAGTTATGTTGGCTGCAGATAAAGACGTTTGTTACTGGCTGCTTGTAGCTGCAGAAATGCTTGGTCTCTCTCTTTGGCTGGGGACTAAGCAGCAGAGAAGCAATGATAGCTCCATGGTTTGTTCCCCATGTCCTGGGGATTGTTTGATTGCCAGAGCAGATGTCAACACGCTTAGGACTTGTGCAGATTGCATTGGCTGTTTGCAAGGTGCTGTTCCCTCAGCAGGCAGGCAGTGATGCTCAGACCATCTCAGGTTTAACGGAGGTTGCTGCAAGACCTATGATAACGCCAAACCACTTTTTTCTACTTGTCACTAAATTGCTGCAGAGCAGAAAACTCTGATTGACCGGGGCCTGGCTTATGTATTTTCTCAATGCAAAAGGGCAGCCATGGCCTTGTGCCTTTTTAAGCACTCTCCTGCAATTATGCAGAATGGAGACTTATTTTTCTGCACCAGAGATTTAGCTCTTGTGCCAGTCTAGGGTAGGATTTTTAGAGAGAACCCGAGTAAGTCTTGCTCATCAAATGACTCGGAGTGAGGGGTTATGGCCACCTTGCAAGTCAAATGAGAAACCTTGCAAGTGCTCTGCTGAAGGAGCAGGTGAGAATGGATTGGTTAACCAGTAGGTTTGGCCTATTTGGGAATGTCCCTAAGCTCTACTTTTGAATTTGATCTTGGAAGTCTAAAAATTAGCATGTAAAGTCTTATGCTTGGTAGCTATTTTAATGGTGAAAGGGAATTAACCAAGGCTGCTCTTGCATTTGGTAGGCATAAGGGAAACTGGAAGGGATTTTAGTGCCCTGGAAGCAGGGTTCTTGGTGTGCCAAGTTGGCTTGCGAAGGCCCTGACTTCAGTCATACGTTAGTCTCTTATTCGGATTTTTAATTTTTGTTGCTTTATCTGTGTGCACTGACAGGCTTTTATGGTCCGTTTTAAAAGTTCCTGAAGACTCGGTATCTTTTGTTTCATTTGATGGTGTGTTTAGTCATCAAGGATATATAAGCTCAGTAATGCTTCTAGCTTTATGGAGGCCAACAGAGTTTTGGAAATAGCTGATAATGTTATAGAACGTTTTGACTACATACACTAACTAGTTTGAACCTCCCACAATATCTCTAGTGATTTTGTTTGTTTGTTTTTGCAGATGATTCTGCAGATGTTGGTGAAGAGGACAGCTTCTTGGGTCAGACTTCTGCCAGCCCCAATCCACCACAGACTTTCAACTATTTCTCTCAAGTCCCTAGTAGCAGTGATCCATTTGGAAGTATTGGGCAGCCACCTTTGACAACTGCTGCACCACCTGTTGGAGCACCAGCCTTCTCCAGGCCTCCAACTTCACTTCCACTTGCGACTGGGTCACAGGATGGTCAAAATGTCTTTTCACCGCATATTCCCAAGTCGCAGTCCTCTTACGGTGCACCACCTACTTCACAGGTGGGAATCGCGGCTTATCAGACTCCTCAGCAGAGCTGTCCCCCACCTGCCAATGCGTCCACTGTTCCCCAAGGAACATCTCAACAAGGGTATAACCCTTACCGGCACACCACCCTGAGCAGCAGAGCCAACCCATATCTTACTCCGCCACAGCTGCAGCAGAGTCATGTACCTGCTCACCCACCATCCTCTGTGCCATCTGTCCAGATGTATCAGACACCTCCAGGGTCATTGACACAGGTACATAAATAATTCCTGATGTCCTGGTTCCAGAACAATACGGTTTAATTCACTTTTCTCTTTGAATTGCATATTTTGTAGTGGAGGATTTCCCTGCCCATGGCAGGGGGGTTGAAACTAGATGATCTTTGAGGTCCCTTCCAACCCTAACCATTCTATGATTCTATGATTTTATCTGACGAAGATTCTTCTTTTCCTCCAAAAAACCCCTAGAAAAAGTTTTGAACCATTTCTGATAGCAGAATCTTTTTCGCTAGAACTAACCTGGAACTGTTGCTTTAGGAAAATGTCCTGATCTTTGAAGTGAGTACGCTGAGGCTGCAGCTACGTGAGCCTCTGATGTCAGAAACAAAGCTAGGTTGTGAAGTTCTGTTGCTCTTTTCTGTCTGTCGCTGAGTTTGCTGCCATTTCACTGTGCTGCTGCATTGTTTGTGCCTCTGCTGTAAATGAGGCCGTTCAGCCATTTGCCAGATAGGGGCCAAAAATCTCTTTTCAAGCTGCTTTTGCTGGTGAAGCCAGCACTTTTTGAAATTATGATTTAAGTCGCATAGATTGTCAGCAAACCTTTTGAAACACATCAGTTGAGGATTTTATGTGATGTAAAGCATCAATCTCCATTCTTTTCTACCTTCACAAAGGCATTATTAAAATAATGTAAATTGATTAGTAATAACCTGTCAAGTTTTCCTTGAAAGCAACAAAAACGGTTTTTATTTTGCCTGAGCTATTGGTATACTGCTGCTATTGTGAATAAAGAATAGAGAAATTATGTAAAGACAAAAAACATAGCAAAGGCAGTAGAACCTGAGCAATCTGGAGTTTTAGATTAAAGAATTTCAAAACTTCTGATTGCTCAATGTTATATATTGTACACCATACCAGTTTGTGTTGTGGTGGGGTTTTTTAAATGTATCAACTGAAACAGTTGTTACTGCTGACTTCACTTGCTTTTAGTTGTACTAACTGGGATCTTTGTCCAATTTGCATGAAATCAGCTTTTTGTAGGCTAGAGTCCCTTTCAAAATCAGTTACTTTTCTTGCGTCTCTGAGGCTGTATTTGAATTTGAAATCTGCTGTCCTGATCGCTTTGCAGGAAGAGAGCTGTTACTTAGGTGGGCACTTGTTAAAATTGACAGTCTTTATGCAAAAATGTAATTACGTTGCCCAGAGAAGTTGTGGATGCCCCATCCCTGGAAGTGTTCAAGACCGGGTTGGATGAGGCTTAGAGCAACCTGGTGTAGTGGAAGGTGTCCCTGCCTGTGGCAGGGGGGTTGGAACTAGATGATCTTTGAGGTCCCTTCCAACCCTAACCGTTCTGTGATTCTGTGAACAGTGAGAAGAATACATTTTGTTTTCATGTCAAACTTGGTGGCTGTAAGAAATAAGCTTAGCCTGAGTTTTGAAAATTTAAGGAAATGTTTTAACTCTTACTGGTTTCAGGTAATCAAGGAGCTAGACCATAACAGTTTTTAACAATATTTGTGGGAACAAAATTTGCACCCTTTCTCAATTTGAAAAGGCGTAACTTCAAAACCACAAAAAAGTAGACTACTTATCTGTAACATTTTTAGGATAAAAGATAATGTTATTTAGGGGGAAAATGTTAGAAGTAAAGGCTCAGGGTGTTCTCTGTAGCAAAGTATGGATCAGATGTGTGAAAACAATGTGACATTGAGCTTGTGTGTATTTTCAGTTTCCACAGTCTCAGTCGCAGCTCCAAGCTCCGAGGCCTGCAGGTCCACTGGTACAGGCACCTCCGGTTTTGCTGCAGAACCAATATGAGCCCGTTCAGCCACACTGGTTCTACTGTAAGGAGGTGGAGGACAAGCAAGTGTGGATGCCGTTCAGCATTCTGGATTCTGCAAAACTAGAGGAAGTCTATAATTCCGGTAAGTTAGGGTAACCTTAATCGTACATTATTCAGAGGTGAACAGAAAGACTAGAAGGAAGATATTAGAATAATACCACTCATGAATTGGAGAGTTAATACATATCTCGAAGATGTGTTTTTTGCCACTTAATACTGGCAGCATCAAGTGTAAGTGAAGTAAATTAAGCTGTGCATCCCCAGTGGATATTGCGTTTTCACATAGAACTCCAAGTTATGTGTGTCTTGGTTTGCCTTTTGGTTAAGCTCTGTCAGCTCTGGAATAAGTATTCATGTTTGGGAGTTATTCAGAGCTGGTTTCGTGTACAGAGCCTAGAGAAGCGTTTTGGGAGCAGCACAGTGGTTGCCCCATATTGTGAAGCTGGTTTTTGCTGGTATAACCGTCTGTCTTAAGGGCTCAGTATTCACCACAGAAGTGGTTGGGGCTGGGGCGTGGGAGAAGAAAGATTGTACATGTTGGAATTGTAACCGAGTGTGGCTTTTGTGTCACAGTCCAGCCTGATCCTGAGAGTGTGGTTCTGAGCACTGACGGGGGACGCTACGATGTGTACCTGTATGACAGAATGAGGAAAGCTGTTTACTGGGAAGAAGAGCCTTCTGAAGTGAGACGATGCTTGTGGTTTTATAAGGGAGACAAGGATAGCCGGTTTATTCCTTACACTGAGGACTTTAGTGATAAGCTAGAGGTTAGTATTACCTTTACATAAACCTCATGAAGAATTTGGTAGTTCTTTGTATTCATGACCTTAGAAATATTTCGTGTTTCATTAAAATCCAGAATGCACTTTCTGAAACATAAGTAAGCAAATCCTGGAAAGGGAAGCAGCTGGAAGGACACATTGCTCATGCAACAACCACTGTGACCTAAAATCAACTTGTGTAGTGCTTCACATGATACTTTTGAATAGATAAAGTTATGTAAATTATAACCTTAACATTACAGATGATGTGCAAGGCCAAAACAGAGTTTGTCTGAGAAGGCATACTGATTTTGTGTAACTTGTTTACTGTTTCAGGCAGAGTATAAAAGGGCCGTAACTACAAATCAATGGCATCGGCGACTTGAATTCCCAAATGGGGAGACGATTGTTATGCATAATCCCAAGGTAATAGATTTTGGCAACTGGTTCTCACAGAATTCATTAGTAGTGAATGAGCAGATGGATGGAGGCATAAATCGAATGCAGTTTTAGTCTTTCTTGAAACGTACTTGTTGATTGTTTTGGATATATGTGCATTAAAGATGATAAAGTTAATGGAACTCTGAACTCCTGCTTCCTTCAATGTGCTGCCATGTGATTAAAATACAAGGCTTTCTGAAACCGAAGAAGAATAAGGGTTTGCACAGTAAGTATTTCAACTAACTGGCAGCAAACGGGAGGCAGTTTGAATTAGTTTCACCTCAGACAGTCTGTACCAAATCGAAAGTAATTTAGACTAAGAGCTTGCTTGTGGAGAAGAGCATTAATCTAACTACAGGGTAATCAGTGTGCATGTCTAAGCCATGAGAAGTCTTCCACTGCAGCTGTTTTTAGGCCATGAGAAAGTATAGCAAAAAAAACCTTTGAAAGTTATTCCCAGTACCCTGCTAACGTTCTCCTGTGATTAAAACATGGACTTCAGCCTTATTGGCCAATGCTGTTAACTGTTCACTTATAAGAGATGCAGCAATTAACAAACAAATAAATAAAATAATCCAAGGGCCAGAAAGGATCATGATTACTCCTACTTTAAGCACTTACTAATGCTGATTAAGGAGTTCTGTCCAGTAAAAACCTAGAGAAGGAGCACTTAAACCACTTGATGTCGTAAATACAAGTTCAGACTCTACTGAGTCAGTCTTAGAAACAGCTGTGCTACGGAATTCCTCACTTTCTAGGATTTCTGGGCTCCTTCGAATGTTTTTGTCATTCTCTGAAAAGCACTGTGCTTTTTTTTTTTTCCTTTCCCCTCCTGATAGAGTGATTGTAAATAGGGGCACTGTTCAGTTTCCTCACATGAACAGTAACCTGCCAAGGAACTGTGGATACTGGGGTCTAGGAAAGAGAAGCTTGAATAATGCTTGTCTGAGGAGTTCACATTGTTAAGAATCACTGAGCAGACCGGCTTCTTCAGCTAGTGGCTACTGTCATTTAAGTCATCTGGTTGCTTTTCACACTATTGAGAATTATCTGTGTTATTTTGAAGTCTAGTTTCAGTGAAGCTGTTGCTGCCACAGGGAGTAGGCCTGAGGTTTCCTAAGGCTTTCTTTTTGCGTATGTGCTAACTGAAGAAAACAGGTGGGTCTCAGATGCAAGGTGAAGGAATCAAACAAAAAGTGCTAATTAAGCCGTGCAATGCTTTCGAGCTAACAACGTGAATCGTAAGTTTTTGTATGTTTGTAATGGACAATGTGTGTTTTTCAGGTCATAGTTCAGTTCCAGCCTTCTGTTGCACCAGATGAATGGGGCACCACTCAAGATGGTCAGGCAAGACCAAGGGTAGTAAAACGTGGAACTGATGATGACCATGATGAAATTCCTGATGGTATGTGATTACCGTACGTGGATCTGCAGCTTGAGCAGTCGGTTCAGTTCTGTGCAAAAGTTGGGCAGTATTGGTAGAGTGGCAATGCACTGTTTGTGCCTAGAGTCTAAAGATTAAAGTGGTTGGGCAGTATTGGTAGAGTGGCAATGCACTATTTGTGCCTATAGTCTAAAGATTAAAGTCATTCCTTAATCTTAACTGCTTGAAAGAAGTTACCTGGTTTAGGTTTTTTTTTAATCAAAGGAGTCCTAGGGGCTATGCTATCTAATAGGCTTTATAAAGCAGGTATATCTTAAAGTTGCTTGGCACTAAACTTCACCACTGCAGTATGTATTGATACTCTGAATTTTTTCTTTTCTTTTTTTTCTACAGGAGAAATGTCCCAAATTGACCATCTGGTATTTATGGTTCATGGCATAGGTCCTGTATGCGACTTGAGGTTTAGAAGCATTGTTGAATGTGGTGAGTTTTTATTTAAGGAGCAGTTATATTCTGAACTGTTTAAATATGGGTCTCTGTAGCTCGTATTCAGATAAGCATGTCTTTTTTTTGAAAAAAGTAAAGTCTAGTGTTAAGAAGTTCAATTTTTTTTCCTGATTGTTTTCCAAAAGCAGAATCTGTGTTTTGTCAGACTTACAGCTTTAACTGCTATTATTAGTCTTCAATATTAGACTTGCAGAGTGGTTTGGTTTTAGGGTGTGGAGTTTTTTGTGGTGTGGGTGTATGTGTTTATTTTGTGTAGTTTGTGTGTGTGGTGGTGTTTGCGTGGGGTGGGTTTTTGTTTGCCTTTTTGGCTTTTTTAAATACATTGCAGTACACTGAGTAAATTAAGAAGGCCATGTCTGATCTTGGAGTAAAAATGCATTATTGTGAGATAAATAGAAGCTTGCCAGAAAATCCACTTTAAAAAAAATACATTTTCTTATAGTTAGAGGAAGTAATACTTGGAAAAATTTTTCCACTTCACGGTTTCCTTCATTTGTGTTCTGACTATGTCTGAAGTTGGAGGGGGAAGGGGGAGAAAGAATAACTGTGTGTTACTTGAGTACTGCTACTACCAGGTTTTCATTACTCTTCTTCTCTACAGTTGATGATTTTAGGACTGTTTCTCTGAAGTTGTTGCAGACCCATTTTAAGAAATCTTTAGAGGAACGTAAAGTGAGCAGGGTGGAGTTCCTCCCGGTTCACTGGCATAGTTCTCTGCACGGAGATGCGACAGGTGTGGACAGGTGAGTACCCTGTTTAATGTTGAGGACTTTGTACAAGCTGCATCTTCATGTTTTTGTAAAGTGGATAGAAAGAGAAGGTAGTATGTTCTTTAGTCTAGATGAATAGATCTATGATCATTAATTTTTTTTAATTGGCATTTTGATGAGGAGTACAGGGATAGCTGGAATGGCACGTGGAGTGTTTTCTCTTGTTTATTTTCGTGACACTGAGTGACAGGATACATAAACACACACACTTTTTCAGTACAACGTTTCCATGGAAATGGCTAAGGCATTGGTACATGAGTGTGTAGGGATAGTGATCGTAAGCACGAGGTGGGGAGCATGGATGTGTATTGTCCAGCAACAAGTATCTGCAATTTGGAGCGGAGAGTTTTCTCTCCTGTACCTTCCTGGGGTCTCATTGAGTCTGACCCTAGGAGATGTCAGTGTCCTCTTTCTAGGGAAGGCATTGAGCCTCCTGTCCAGTCCTAGAGTAGTGCCTGAACTGTGATTTGGCAGTTGAGTTAAGACCTTTTTTTTTGAAACAAACTATCTGTATTTGGGTAGGAGTGTTACAGCATTTAGAAATCTATTTTAAAATCACTTCTTGGTCCTTATCCCTTTGCTGTTGCTTGACATTTCTAGCTGTTTTCTCTTGCTCAAAGGTAGGGAAGTAGAAATTGTGAGGGTAGCAACCTGTACCGCTCCAGACTGTTCTACCTCAGTCAAGTCATATTGCTTTCCTAGAATCTCAGTCTTTAATTCGCATCTGAATGCTGTATTATTATGAGGAAGGATCCTTATTCTGTTAATCAAACCAGGCAATGCTAACTGAGACAGTTCTCCAGCACTTCCCTTGCAGCTGCCTTAACTCCAGGCAGGCAGATGGTGATGCCAAGCTTTTTCTTCAAAAACAGGATTATGTTGCCTGTTACTTCAATTTCACCTTCAGTTTTTATATATGAGTTCTTTTTCTCTTCCACTTCGACCAACCTGCTCACAAAACTTCCCTGTTTCTATATGAGAACAGTGTTGGAACAGATTATTTCAGCCTGGAGGGAAAAAAAGGAGCTGGACCTTTCTCAAATATGCACAATCAGCAGATAGCACTAATGTATGGATATGCAACGAGGCCAGAAGGCTGTATGTTTTTTTTTTTAATGTCTATAAAGACCATATCTGTAGTATTTACATTGCAGTTCTACTACCTGTCATTTCAAAAGTTAAGAGTTCTTCTCTACATTTCTTTAAAGGCATTCATGCTTCTAATGATTTTGTGTTCCTAGGAACATAAAAAAAATCACTTTGCCGAGCATCGGACGCCTGCGCCACTTCACCAATGAAACCCTGCTGGACATCCTGTTTTACAACAGCCCCACCTACTGTCAGACGATTGTGGACAAGGTGGGGCTGGAAATGAATCGTCTGTTCGCCCTTTTCATGAGTCGCAACCCGGACTTCAGAGGAGGGGTCTCTGTGGCTGGGCACAGCTTAGGTAATTATCGCAGGAGCTGATCTGGGATAAAACCAGCATTCCTACACTAGGGAGAATGGAACCTTCATGAAGCGTAAGGCTAAAATTAGCTTATAGGGCATCACTGTCTTTCAGAATACAGCTGAAATGACTGAAAGTCGTTAGTAGTATGTCATATTTAGTCATTTTTAGTATGACGAAAAGTCAAACACCTCTCAATAGCTGAGCTTATAAAGCTTTGGGAGAAGGTCAGTACTTCATGGATGTGTGCCTTTCCCCCTCGCCCTCCCTTTTGTTTCCTTCGTGAAGACTTAGTGTCTAATTTGTGTTTAAAAGTTGACAGGGTGTCTGGTGTCTTGTTAGGTGGGTAACTTCTGTGTCTCAGAACCCCCACCTAGTAAAAGTAAGATAATTTTGAAACATGGGATAAGTGTTACAAAGACATACAACACATTGGTTTGGGATGGAAGTTTTCCTGCAGTTTGGCAAGCAGTCTAAGATGGTTAAGGAAAGATAGTTTAATCATGGCAACTACATAAAGCATGAAGGAGCGAGGGAGAAGGTTTGCTTTTTGCTGAGAATGGTCGTGTTCAAGTCAATGGGTGGGTATTTCAGTTTTAATTCAGCCATCTTTTTTTGATCCATCTATACAATGCTATTACTATTGCATGTAAATCTTGCTTAGGATTTAGGGACAAGAAGTTCTGACTTCTTCTGACAAGAAGTTCTCCCAAGGCAACTTTAATTCCTGTTTCCAGGTTCCTTAATTCTATTTGACATACTGTCTAACCAGAAGGACTTGGCTTCGTCAGTAAATACTGGGCCTTTCTCTGGTGTTAATGGGACTGTAAAGGACGTGGCTGTTCACGATAAACAGGTAATTTGCACGATAGTCTTTCCAGGCAAATAGATCTGATATTTTCAGCAATTTTTTCTTAAGTTTTCAGAATTTATTGTCTGAAAAATGGTTGTGGGTTCTGATAGTACATTTTAACGTGTTAGTGGAAATGTGCAGTTTTGTAAATATTGTCAGTTCTCAGGACAAACTGTTCGCATCTCTGTCGAGTTCCAAGCAGGCCAGTAATGGGATTTGATCATGGACATCAGCTTTGATGCTTGTGGACACGTAACTTGGTCTTAACAGTATCTGAATGATGGAGGGTATTCCTAAGAGAGAAATGGAGTGTTGGAAAATAGAGTGTTGGAAAGCTCAAGAAAACTTTTGCCTCTCAATTATTTTAAAAAATATGTTTTGCTGGCCTGTTATTAGTGGAAGATCTGTATCCTGCCTTACTAAAAATGGGCATAAATTTACAAAGCTTACATAATAATGTTTTTAAGAGAAAGTAATTAAACTTGTATTTACTTGCTGTGTATTGGCTTTTCTCTGTTTGATGATGTGATTCTGTTTCTGTGCTGTTTTTTTTTTCTAAGTTGACTGAAGATACCAGTTCCTTGGGCTCCTCAATTACTACTTCTGGTGATGACCTTTGTGAGCCTGAAGTAGAGGATGATGTTCCTACTTTGGAGAAGACTCTGGAAATGCTTAGTTTGTCAGAGTATGCAAGCACGTTTGAAAAGGAACGGATTGACATGGAGTCTCTGGTACAATAATGTTCACTTAACTTATGGGGTTGCCAGTATGGAGGTTTATGTTGGGAGGGTTTTTTAGGGTTTTGTTTGTTTTCTTTTTTATGAGTTTAGTGTACCATGAGACATGAAAGCGATTGCAAAGGTAAGATGATTAATGCATGACATGAAGACTAAATGTCACGCAACTCTTTTTTTTTTTTTTTTTTTTTTTTGGTGAGATGTGCCCTCCTCCCACCCCCCAAATTATGTTCAGGCACTTTATATCATGTCTTTTTAATTTCTTGTGATTTCTGTACCTTTATAAAGTGTCTTATCTAATTCGTAAGTCATTGCCAATAAGAAAGTATGTATGTTACTAGAAAAGTTATAATGTGTGCTTTGACGTATGTGTTTGATTTTGGTTTTTTAGCTGATGTGTACAGTTGATGACCTGAAGGAAATGGGAATACCTCTTGGACCAAGAAAGAAAATAGCTAATTTTGTAAAAGATAGAGCAGCCAAGCAGGTAAATACATTTTTCAGGAATGAAGTAAAAGGTTGTTGAGCAAATGTGACTGAGTTCCTTGCTGTGGAGTAACTTCTGTTCTTTAACACACTTGTTAACATCCTGAATATACTAAAGGAATTTTGACAGCTGTGAAATAAACTTTTTTTTCCTGATTTTGAAATTTGTCTCGAAAGGAACAAAAGAAAGCAGTAGCAGAAAAGAAAGCAGTGCTGGCTGCCACTCTCCAAACTCAAGAAGATGCCCAAAAAGCAAAAGAGGCAGTTAATTCTGTCTCCCCTTCAGAGTCTGGTCAGCTGCACTCAAAGAGGAGACTTCCAGTTGGTGCATCCGTTTCTTCTGTGAACATTGACTATGAGTATTTTGAAGTTGGAACTGGCCAGGTGAGACTACTTAGATTTAAATGATTCATTTGGAACAATGCTTGGTTTTGTTTTTTTTGTTTGTGCTGCTTCCCTTGATTGTTGTACAAAAGTTATGGTTATGTAGAACTTCACCCTTTGCAAGGAGGGAGAGCTGGGAGAGTGGGTTAGATTACTGAAAAGCAAAACAGATTATAAGAAGGATGCCACTACAGTTCATTTTTGTCTTTCAGCTGTGTTCCAGAAGCAGAGCTGTGTGAATGACATAATATTGAATGATTCTGTGGCTTTACATTTTACATTTTAATTGATCCATTTATGCTGATAAGTTTCAGTTTTTCCTCAAACTTAACTTAAAAACCAAACCTCGAAGACTTCCTGTTTTAATTTTCTTTTTTAGTTTTTTTATACTTTTGAAAATTTTTAATAAAAGCATTTTAATACTATAGTATTTCAAAAGTGTAAAAAATTTTCAAAAGTATAAAAAAACCTTTAAAATATAGTACTATACTATATTATTAAAATTTAAGATTTAATAGTATTAAAATTTAAATTTTCAATAGTATTAAAATTTAAATATTTAATGCTATGGTATTAAACCGCACTAGTACTATAGTATTAGTATGGAAGAGGGCAATACAGCGGAAGCTTCCTGGAAGTACTGTGAGCATGTTGTTGATTTAACACACAACTTGTTTTTCCTTCCTAGCTAAGCATTGTATTAACTAGCTGGCAGTTCTGAGAAATTAGATATCTGATTTCTGTCTGGCAGGTTTCTGTGGTTTACAGTGCGTTGGACTTTGAACCAGACATTTTTTTTGCTCTTGGTTCTCCTATTGGTGTGTTCCTTACTGTGAGAGGTGTGGAGAAGATTGATGAAAACTACAGGCTTCCTACCTGCAAGGGATTCTTCAATATCTATCATCCAGTGAGTAAGCAGTACTTTTGGGATTTGATTTTAGTTGATGCAGGTGACAACAATGTAGAATACTAAGTTTTAACCTCTGAGCATTATACCTCCTGTTCCCCTACGTACATTTCCCAAAACTCCCTTTTAAAAAAATTACCTGAAATATATATTCCAAATGTTTGTGGTCTTTTACTGCAAAAGTGAAGTAAAACTGGATGTAGGTTTCATACCTAGCATTCTAGGTATGGGTTGGCTTGATAATATTTGCCCTGTTCATTTTCAGAACTTAAATAACTTTTTTTTTTAAATTAATTTCAAGCCACTCTTTTAGTTTTTTATAAAGCGTTCGTATTTGAGCTGTTTACAGCACTTTTCTTAGTTTTGAGTTTAGATTCCGGGAAATTTAGAAATGCTTAGAGGTTTTGCAGTGCATGCAGTACATTTGTCCTCTTCTGTCCCATCTTGTTTAACAATTACACAGTGACTATCACTGAAATGTGATAATTAGAATAATTTCTAAGATAACTTAATGTCAATGTGTTGTTTCTTAACAGCTTGATCCAGTAGCTTACAGGTTAGAACCAATGATAATTGAAGACATGGATTTAAAACCAGTTCTTATTCCACATCATAAAGGCAGAAAAAGACTTCATCTGGGTAAAAAGAAAACTTATTTCATATATGGATCTCATTCCTAATTTACTCATTTGATGCATTAGAATATTGTAAAATTTCAAGAGGCTCATGAATGTTCCTGGATACCTGACTACATGTTTTCCCTAAACATCAGAGGGGATTCCTCCCAGCCCTGTAAACTGGTCATTCACAATTGCATTCGGATGTAATAATCCTAATTCCTCCAGATTTGAGCTTCTGATTAACAAAGTTCCATTTTAAAATTGCTGTACATCGCTTGTTCACCTTAATTTCTAAGGTGATGTGAAACAGAAACTAAATTTACTGGTTTCTTTTACCTTGTCCCTAATGACAGCCATGAAGTGTTTAACCAGTATCTGTTCAGTGTTGGAAATGTTGAGGAAAAAGGTGGTTCCATAGCGGTTGATGGGCAGGGACTGGATTTTGTTGCGCACGAGTACGTGTCAGATTGAGGTGCTGTACTTAAATTTGGCGTACCTGATGAGGAAAGTCAGTTTTGCTGTACAATTGGCAATGTTACTGTTGTACAAGTTCAGAGTCCTCCTCAAAGCCTGTCTTCCGGCACTTGCATGGAGAAATTCTGCAGCATCCATACTTTAGAATGGTACATATAGAATGAGTCTGCTTTCCTAGACTAGACAAGATACTTGTTAAGGACTATTTTAGGTCACAACTCTCAAAAAGTGCGTATAGTGAAGGAGAAAAACATGATCTGTTGCTCTTGACCGGTTTTTCTTTGACGTAGGTGCATGTTCCATGGAATAGTCGCGAGCCCTGATGTAGCAGACCCATGTGGTTCCTAATCAGTTATTGTGAAGAGCTCCCCTTCATTCAGGGTTTCATAGATTCATAGATTCATAGATTTCTAGGTTGGAAAAGACCTTAGAGATCATCGAGTCCAACCATCCCTAATCCCCATTAAACCATATCCTCAAGTAGAGCATCCACCCTATTCTTAAACACATCCAGGGATGGGGACTCAACCACCTCCCTGGGCAGCCTATTCCAGTGGCTGACAACCCCTTTCCCCCCAGTACTGAATGGCAGCTTGGTTACTGGTGACACAGTTACTGAGCTGTAGCAGAATTACAGGCTAGAGTTGTCTGGGAGTGCTTCTCCAAATTTGCTGCTGCTGCAAGAGGCATTGGCAGCTCTTGTGGTCTCTTCTGCTGTGCTGGAGCTTGAAACTCGTCTCTGTAATTTGTCTTTGGTGTGGGACGTAAGAGTGATTGTGGGTGGTGGTCATGTTGAGGGATTGGCTGCTACAGCTATTTTTGTAGACCCTTCTGGACTTGGAGGCTCTTGGGCTGTTCCATGTGCTAGTAGGTGTTAATTCATTGACCCATACCCTGTGAAATTAACTGTATGTTAATTACATTTCACCTAATCTTTTTAAATGGGATAGAGAAGCACGAAACACGTTCATGATGTGGCAGGCCTGTTTCTCCTAATAATTGGGATTTTTTTTTAACAGAGTTTAATCATTCTGGTTTGAGTTTATCATTCTAAATCCTTCTACTATGGTAATTTATTTATTCTTTTATTTATTTAGAGTTGAAAGACTCTCTCTCTCGTATGGGATCTGATCTGAAACAGGGTTTTATTAGCTCTTTGAAGAGTGCATGGCAGACCCTTAACGAGTTTGCACGTGCTCATACATCTTCAACTCAGCTACAAGCGGAACTGGAGAAAGTAGCTAACCAAATTAAAGAGGAAGAAGAAAAGCAAGTGGTAGAAGGTATGTGGACACGTTGTTGGCGTTCTTATAACTTATCTGTCTCAAATTAGTAGAAAATTGAGCATCCTAGTGAGTGCTTCCTATTGATTTTCCTGACCCCATTAAGGAGGCCTCTGTGCTTTTCGAGTATTACTGTTAAATGTAAGATCTATTACTGCATTTTTTTGTCTTTTTAGGAAAGGAAAAGTTAACTTTTCCTGAAGGATATTTTAGGTATGAGTTTGTATAACCGTTGAACTTTCTGTTAGAAGGGCAGGTTTCTAAATGAGTTGTGTTTTCTTCCCTCGCAGGTCAAGTTAGTACAAATATTTATTTGTGAGATATATTCTCTTCGGTAGGGTTCTGCTGTGTTTTTGGGATGAGTTAAGAAGCATTTAAGTATGTGCTGTAACAGAAGAAAGTGCTGCTGAGGAAAATAAACTTAAATCAGCTATTAAGTCAGATATTATCATGATGATAATTAATAGTTTCTAGTGATGCCAAGGACAGGCTTCCCAGTTGTGAATTATCTGTTGGTGTATAGTAATGGTGACTTTATCTATACTTACAAAGACAAAGCATTCCTCCTAGTTTAAATCGAGGATAGTGATTGACTCTGTGCAAGGGGGATGTAAAAAATGTATTATTTCAGGTTATTCACTTGTGGAATGACTGAATTTGTCAATGTATAAACAGCGGGGTTTGTTTTTAAAGTTGCTCAGCTACTACTGTGTGAGCTATTCTTCAAATAAACTCTGTTTAAACTCTGTATAAAGAAAGAAATAAGCCTATAGTTTCAGTAACCTTTCTGATTTACGCAGTGGCGTGCTAGTCAGCTGAGGGCGTTATTATTGTATTATTGCAAGCACTTGGAAATTATAGCAGGGAAAATGGGTGATGTTTCTTGATTATAGTCAAGCAGACTGTCCTTGAAAATAGTTTAAATCTTAAACTCTTTAATTTTAGCTGAAAAGATCACTGAAAGTCCAGACCCTCCAAAAGATGAAGATTTTCTAGTGAAGGTTGGAATGCTAAATGGAGGACGTCGTATTGATTATGTTCTACAAGAAAAACCAATAGAAAGCTTCAATGAATACCTTTTTGCTTTACAGAGTCATTTGTGCTACTGGTAAGAGGAAATAGTTGTGGTTCTATAAATACTGCTTTTCTGATACAACTGTATATCTTTAAATGTTGTTAGTTACATGCCCAGCATTTATCTTACTCCATTGACTGTTATTTACCTGTGACCAATGTGATAATAGCTAACATCACGCTTCCTGTCTCGAGCGTTTTATAAGGAAAACTCAAGGGATCTCTTGTCAAAAATCATGCCCTAGTGTTTCACTTCAAGCACATTTTGACAAAAATAACTGGGTTTACATACACAGATCTATTTTTCAGGCTACTGCTGATTTGAGAAGTTAAACGTTGCAAAAGGACCGACCAGTTATAAAGCTACCAGAACAGGATTTGTTCCAGTAGTCGATGTGTATGCCTGTGACTTAGGAGACCTGGGTTTTCTGGGTCTTTGTAATCTTTGAAAAGTTTGGAAAAGACGACTGTCAAGTTGGGTACGAGAGCCTCATCGCTTAATTCTGAAATGGCTCCTCGTTTGGAAAGATGTTGCCTTCCCCCACAGATGTAGCGTAAAGATAAATTGCTTTTAGTCTGGATGCTCGAGTGTTACATAATTAAAACGATCCAAGTATTAAGGTAAACAGTATCCATGACTCTCCAGGAATGTCGGTCTTAAGGTGTCGCACGTATGTGTGTCACTATTAGCTAATCTCATTTCAAAATAAGATTCTGTGCTAGCACAAAGTAAACAAATCTATTGTCCTGTCTGCACTAAAGGCATTGCATCCTGGTCTCCTGAACTTCGACACTCAGAACACACACCTTGAGCTGCAATCCTTTTCAGAACAAGGAGAGCTCTATAAGCATTTCGACAACCGTTGTTTTTCAAATAAAACTATTCTTGAAGATTCATAGATT